AAGATCCGTGACATCCCTAATGGGGGTATAGGCTAGACAGCTACTCCACCCAGTGGAAGTTTAAAAAAATTCGTATCTTAAATCGAGGTATACTCGTGGAAAGGTTTTCTGGGTTTAAAAATTTTCTTCAACAAGGGTTCTGATCCGAGCTTCGAGTAGTCCGTGACATCCCTAACACCCCTAATGGGGGTTCCTTATAGTAAGGTTCAACTGTAAAAACTTTATTTATATTATTTTAAAAGATGAAGGACAATCATCAAATGGTGCGTAAACCCAGCATTAAGGATCATTTTAATAACTTCGGTCGTAAATTGTCGGAAACTGTGGCGAATCATCCAATTTTCGCACCGGTTAGATGGATTGGTGGAAGATTGAATGCTTTAAAAAGTATTTAATTTCTAGTTTCATTAATTTTTTATCCAATTTAAGACTTATTTGGGAAGAAAAAGGAAGATTTAAAAGCTAAGAAAGCCCTTACAATGAAACCTATTGGAGGAGAAGAACATCATCAAAAGGATCATCCGAAAGATAAAGGACCTAAACATGAGGAACAACATGGAAAGGATCACGGAAGCCCCAAAAAAGGACATGAAAGCCCTAAAAAGGAACATGGAAGCTCCAAAAAAGGACACGAAAGCCCCAAAAAGGAACATGTAAAAGACCACGGAAGCCCCAAAAAGGAACCTGGAAGTCCTAAAAAGGTAGAGGAACATCATAAAGGGGAAGCAAGTGGCCATCCTCATCAAAAAGAAGGAAAACCGGAAAAGATTGGTCATTGAATTGGAGGAAAAATGATAGTAAATAAATAGAAGAAAATGAAAAAAAAAGTTTAAAATCAGAAAAGTAAACTAAAATTGGGAAAGAAAATATATAATTGTTTTAAATTAAAATTATTTTTTTAAATTTAGTCCGTTTAACACACTCCCTGGTATTTTAAACTTGTAGTTGTGCTTGTAGTTTAAAATTTTTTTTGGGTTTTCTGGCGTTTTGTGTATTTTTTTAAAATTCCGTACTGTACTACAGATTTTTTTTTTTATTTTTTTTTTTTTTTTTATTTATTTATTCACGTAAAATCAAAGGGCACAAATTTAGTAAAAAATATATATGTGCCACTTACATGCAGTGAATGTAACCCATTTAATATATATGTATGTATGAGGAAATTAAGACTATTTTTTAGTAGTATATAAATGTATTATTTATTTCCTTGGCTTTTAATAAGTGATTTTTAAGTAATATCCAAAATTGTTTTGGAGTTTTCGAGTTAATTATGTTTTCTGGGAGAGAATTCCAAGTATTTGTACACCTATTTATAATCCAATTTTCAGTTTTAGATGTTTTCCTTAAAATTTGTATTTGTTGTTTGTGTTTATTTCTTTTAGTTCTGGAGGAAAATGTTATTAATGTTTTAGGATTGATTGAAGTAAAGTGATTGATAATTTTATAAATCAAGGTTAAATCGTAAAGAGTACGTCTTAGACTGAGACTTTCTAGGTCGAAAATTTTTAACCTATCTTGATAAGCGATTTTGGATCGTTTACATTTTCTAAGAGCATGAAGGGTGTAAAACTTTTGAACTTTTTCGATTTGATTAGTAAGTGTTTTCGTCATCGGATTCCAGATTTCAGGTCCATACTCAAGTATGGGTCTAACATAGGATTTAAATGAAATAGACCATATTTTAGGGTTGGTTGAGTGAATAGTCCTTAAAAGTTGAATGGAGCGGTAGAATGCATTTTTAACAATTTTGTTGATGTGGGAATTAAAGGAGAGAGATTTTGTGATTTCGATACCTAAATCCCTAATAGATGAGGTTTCTTGGAGGATAATATCATTAATTTTGTATTTTATACCAGTGTTATTTTTACCGATATGAAGAATAAAAGTTTTATCATGTGCTATTGGAAGGGCCCAGTCCTGACTCCATTTATTTATCGAATTCAGTCCTTTTTGTAATAATTTGGAGTTATTATTGTCAAAGTGCTCGTAAATTTTTGCATCGTCTGCATATAGTTTTATGTGTAGGTGTTGGGGAAGTACCCCAGGGAGATCATTTATATAGACAAGAAAAAGAAGTGGGCCGAGGACCGACCCCTGGGGTACACCCGATTTGATTTCGTATGAAGAAGAGAGACTTTCCCCAATTTTTACCCGAAAGGTCCTATTAGTGAGAAAGTCTTCAATCCAACTTAAGAGTTTTCCACTAATACCTAAATTTTCTAACTTATAAATTAAAAACTGAATAGGTACGGAGTCAAATGCTTTGCGGAAATCAATATATATACAATCTGTAGATTCACCCTTTAATATTGTTTCATACCATGTTTGTAATGTAGAAATAAGCTGGGTAATTGTAGACCTCCCCTTTAGGAAACCGAATTGATTGGGATTAATTAAATTATTTGTCATGAGGAAGCTAATGATTTGTTGGGATATGATTTTTTCAAATACTCTGCAGATGGTGCTGGTTAGGGAGATAGGACGATAATTTGATGGATTTGATTTTAGCCCTTTTTTGAATATTGGGATGATGATAGATTCTTTCCATTGTTTGGGAATTTTACCATTGTCTAGTGATGTTCTGAATAGTTCGGTTATTACTGGAGATAGTGGTAGGTAACAATGTTTTAATATTTTATAGCTTATACCTTCCGATGAGGTTGAATTTTTTGCTGGGGAATTTTTGAGTGCGTTAGCCACTGTTATAATATCAAAGTTTACATCATTTAGATTATGGTTAGAATATTTGGGAAGTGTAGGAGGATCTCTGGAGGGAACATTCTCAAAGTATTTTGAGAACATATTTCCAAAAATATAACATTTATCAGCTTCCTCAGTAATAATTCTGTTATCTATTTCAAGAGTTGGGATTGGATCATTATTTTTTGTACGGTGTTTTATAAATTTATGAAGTTTATTATAATCTGAAACTATACCCCTTATTTTTTGACTGTGGAATTGGTTAATAATGAATTTGGTGGTTTTACAGATATCTTGATATTGTTTTTTTAGTTTAATGTTATAGTTATTTGCTTTCATACGGCGGAAAATTAATAGTTTCTTGTTAATTAAACTACTAATATATCTTGGATATTTAATTCTTTTATTTTCAGGTGTGGTTGAAATTGTTTTATTAGGAATACTCAGATCGATCTGGTTTTTGAGGGTATTTAGGAATTCAGAATATTTTGAATCAATTGTATAGAAATTATTAAGATGACAGAAATTGGTATAGTTTAATGCGTTTCTTAGTTTATCAATATTTTTATTGGACATGTCTCGGATTTGGATTGGTTTATTATTTTGAGGAATAGAGTTTAGCTGAAAATGTATTGAAAAGTGATCAGATATGCCATCCTTGACCTCATAGTTGGCGAAAAGAGTGGTATTATTTGTTAGTAAGAGATCAAGGATGGAACCTGATTGGTGAGTTGGTTCTAAAATGAGTTGATTAAAAAGGAAATTATGACAGAAATCAATAATCGAACTGTCTGTGTTGGTAGGATTATTAGGGTTATTCCAATCTATTCCCGGTAAATTAAAATCACCACATATAATGAAATCTTCCTGATGGAATTTTGAGAGTTTGGTAAATATTTTTTCAGTGTGGAGTTTCTTTGTGTTTGGTGGTCGATATATAAGTCCAAATCGAATGGACTTTTTGTTTTTTGGAAAATAATCGATAATTAGCAGGTCTATTCCGTAAAATGATGTAGAGGAGACTAGATTACAATTAAATTTGGATTTAGCTAGGAATGCAATCCCACCGCCCCTTTTATTATTTCTATTTGTGAGGAAAACCTGGAAAAGATTACTGAATGATAGTTCAGAAATGATCTTGTGATTATTAGTTATCCAAGTCTCGGTGATGAATAAAAAATCGGGATTTTCTGTGGAGATTATGTATTCTAAAGTTGGTAATTTGTTAAGTATAGATCTTGAGTTAAAATATATACATTTTAATTTGGGATTGATTTTTTGATTTATTAGGTTTAAACGGTAAAGGGGGTTATTTTTAATCTTTTTTGTATTAATTTCCTCATTAAAATTCTTTTTCCCGGGATTTGTGCATGTAAGTGGTTTGTTATAAGTATATGTAAAATTCTGTTTAAAAGAAAAATAATTAAACCTTAAATCACTGCATTGTGGCACTAAGAGTTTTTTTCATTCAAGATTTTACGTCGATCACTTATATTTCTGGTTTGCCAATTTTCTTTCTTCTCCGCTCTTTCTTCAGCTGTTTCTGACCAACGAATTGCAAATTTATCACTTCCAACCAGTTGACGAATTGTGTCACGTTTTTTAGTCCAATTTTTTAAAGCCTGAATTTGAAAACGCCGCGCCGGCAAGATCACCTTTAAAAGACGCAAACCTTTTTTTGTTGGGTCATGAACACCCATGCGATATACAACCGCAGAGCACTCGACGCCCAACTCGTCGAGTACGCACTTTACCATTTGGTGATCATCGGCTTGTCGAGCAGATGGTTTTGTCTTTTCACTTTCCGGCATACGAGTAAATACCAAGCTTCTTTTTCTCTCTTTTTCATCGGCACTTTGCTCATTATTAATTTTATTGAATTGATTTTGAATTTTTTCAAGGCTTTCGGAAATCGTATTAATTGCTGGTATTTTATTTTCAATGTTGTTAATTTTTGTTTGAAGATCAGTAAGAATTTTGCGAATTTCCGCAAGTTCTTTTGATGACATTTTTTAAAATCAATGAATCGATTTTTTTTTTAAATCTTAAACTTGGGTAATTAGATTGGAATAGCGATACCCAAAAGGACCGACGGTCCCATCCCTAATACTGACACTAGAAATAACGAGAATCATATTACAATAAGGAGCTTTTCCTCTGTCCTTTGTGTTTGTTATATTTCATTTTAATTGAGATAATTAGTTTATAAATTAAATTAAAATTATTCAAATAAATATTAAAATAATTCTGAATATTATAATTAAATATCCAAAAGGGTCAATACCAGAAATTCCTCTTCCTCATTTTCCTCTAAATAAATTTCCAATTCCACTTAATATATTGCCAGTATCACCCCCACTTTTCTGTTTATACTCGCGTACTCCTTGTTGAAAACGTTCTTCTTGTAAATTCTCAAATTGTTGGCACTTTTTGTCTTTGAATATATTCGGTAACTTTAAAAAGATGTTTCAAAAAAAATTTTTTAAATAAATTTTTTACATTCCCAGCAGTTGTAGCAGCTTCAAAAAGAACGTTAGTTTTTACTTTAGAACCTTCCAATTCATAATCTATAACAGCATGATCGCAGGCCAAAAGTCTGTCGGGTGCACGCCTCGATACCCAAAATTCGAGTAATTCAGAGTTTGTAGGTGTGTAGCTGCCTTGCTGTTAAATAAAAAAAATTAGACATAATTTCTTTTTTAGCTTCTTTTCCAAAATAAACTTTAAAAAATTAAGAATCTTGTCCCAAAAATATTAAATTCTTGTTAGCAACTTCAACTCTCGTTCAGCAATTAAGCCAATGGAAGAAGTTTTTTAAAAGCGCAGTTCTGGACGAAGCCTAAGAGATTTCTGTAATTAATAGGGCATCCATTATAAGAGACTTTCACTATTTACGTAATATTTATGTCGCTATTATAGAAAGTTTCCGTAAAACAAAATTATCGAACTTCCGTAAAACAGTAATAAAGGCGGGCACTAATTGGACTAGGCGGGGTTCTAATTCAGAGTAGGGCTCTACTTCAGTAAACACACTATCCTAGCTTTATAAATAAATTAATTTTTACATCCAAACTATTAGCAGCTAACCACTCCCCAATAATCGCCAATTTAAAAGCTTTCCCCAAAAGAGGATTATCCAATTGAGAGAAAAATTCATGTTCCAATTCAGCCCTATTTTCAGCCCTTTCATAAAATTTCATCCAGATATCCAAAGCTCCCTCCTTTTGCCAATAATCTTTTTGCCAAACACTTTTAGTGAATGTTGTACATAAAGTAAAGTTTGGATCTTCTGGGGGAGGGCACAATTTTGTTGTTAAACGATAAGTCCTCTCTTCTGTTGCTCTACACAAATTTCCGTCAGTTCTCTCCAATAATTTTAATTTTCTGAAAGAATTTTGAAAATTTTGGCAATTAAATTTATTCAATTTAAGGGGGTAAATAACTACCCCCAACTCCAAAAATTGAATTCTAATATAAATATGACGCTGATTAAACAACGAATTGATATTTATAAATAAAATAATTAATTTATTTTTGTATATTATGTAGATTGAATTGGGTAAGACCTGAATTTTTGTTCTAGTTAATGTCCAGACATTTTCAGTTCCCTCAACCAAACTCAACCAAAACTAGATGCGGAGGGGATTTGCGTTTATTACAGGTCAAAACTCTTACAGAAAAGTTTTAATAATCTGTGTTCAATACCCCTAATACTAAAATCCACACACCTGCTTCCTCTACACCAATCACAATAATAACATTCTCTGCCGCATGTTGCTACATCCATACATCTAAGTTTCCCTATAGGTTGTATATGTACATCTAATTTCATTGCCAAACGGTTAATATGTACATCTTTAAAAAATATTTGATGAAAACTTTTTATGAAAAAGCCTCTATTTAATGGAAAACTTCTTTTTTAAGGTTCAATTTTAAATAGACGGTTATTAAGTAGCGTGAGCATGCTTGTCTCTTCGAGATACTCTTTATTTCACATACTCCCCTATCTAAATGTTTATATTGTTAACAAAGAATTTTCACTCCTTTATCATAAATACCTTCCTCCGTCCCTTCCCTTTATCAGAGACAATAATAAATGTCCTTATCTCCCCGTCCCTTATAACAGGAGATATGATTTTAGGTTTTCATAAATATAAACATACTAGGCGGAAGTGTAACATCAATAGACATATCAAAACATTCTGGCCTATATTTTTTATTTTATAAAAGATTTTAATTAAAATTAAAGACCAAGTTAAATGTAAGTTGCCATTTTCATCTCTCTCTTGTGGATGACTAAATTGTGGATTAGCTAATTTTATCTGTTCAACACAATCATGGCCAGTAAATTCTCTACAACAAGGCCCTCTACGTGCATCTTTTAATCGTGTAATAAATAAATTTTTGCTGATTACTGCCTTAAATTGATTCGAGAATTAGAGGAAGCTTAATCTCATTCTCAATATTTAGAGGGCCAAAACAAAACCCGAGGAATGTTGGAAGGTGATCATACTTTTTTGGAAGTTTCAGGGTTGATCAGGTCCTTATACTAAACCCTACGAACACCAGATAGAAACTGTTATTTTGATATAAATGTCTTTTTCTTTGGTAACTACGAGTCCCTTACTGTATATTGGGATTTAATCTCTTTAATTCAATTGAGGTAAATTTAAAAAGTTATTTACCTCATAATTTCTTTCAGAAACCTTCCTTACGGATCCAGTCCCTATAAATAAAATTTATTTTGCCTTAAAAATTTTTATTGTCCACCTATAGGAACATCTTTTTCATTATAAACAACAGCATTTCCATTTTTATCAGCAACAACTTTACCAGCACTTCTCCCTTGTGCATCATAACATTGAGAAACTCCGGGGGTCTCCGCTTAAATTTAAACTATACCTTTCTTTAATTTCTCTATTTTTACCTGTACAAAAATATTTTTCGGATCTTCTTCCAAATAAAGAGCCCAATAAATCATTTCTATTAGAATAGGCATCTTTGGAACTAAGTTGGGCTTCGACATGATTTTTGTCTTTGTGCACTATTGCATATTCATATGAGCCTTTTTTGCCTTTTTCCTTTAAATTATTTTATGGCTAGCTTTTAGGCTACTAGTTTTATAAGAGGGAAGGCAAGTTACCGTCCTGGTATCTTAATCGGTACGTGGTCGGCGAATCGAGTAGGAATAATTGCCAATCTAGACTTTCTTTAAGGAACATATATCATCAAGCTATTTTTTGGGAATTAAAAAGGAAGCTTAGGGTCCTCGAGCCTCTATAACTCAGTCTATAGAGCCCCGATGTTTACCCCAGGGTTGAGCCTTTGAAGATTAGTTAAGTAAGGACTTAAAACACTTAACTTTAAAATTTTTCACTTTTAATTTAAAAAATCAAATTCTCCGCTCACTTACATTATCCCCAAAAGAAAGCAATCCATGCCCCTGCTTCTCATTTTGTTCAGCCGGCGTTAATCGAAAATCGAAGCGATCATTACGAGCTTGAAATTCTTTTTCCCCATCTTTATCATCTTTTCCTCCTTTCGATAAAGTATCCAACTCGTATTGACCATCAGCTTTTAATAATGCATGTTTGCCTTCTCCGTCTTCTTTAACTCGAAGTTGCCCACTAAAATTAATTACTTGAATCTCCTTCTCCGTTGAATATCCCTCACAGAAGGAATTCCTCCTGTTTAATATCAGACAATAAGTTACCCTTACTTAACCCTCTTTTCTTCTCTCCCATTCCCCATTTTTAGGTTAGAATTAATTTTTTTTAAATTTATTTTGCCTGTGTCCTTCAACTTGAGCAAGCCCTCCTTTATCTCCAAATTTTTGGACTTGTGCTCTCTGTCCAGGAACACTCGATTCTGCTATAGCTACATTTCCATGTGCTGAAGCACTTAATTGTTTTTGTTCAGTAATTAAATCTACTATAGCTCTTTCTTTATTGCTAGCATCTAAGCCAACCTTTGAAAAATTAATTTTTGAAGAAGAAAATTTTTGAAATTTTTTTTTGAAAATTTCTTTACCTTTTGAACTGTTTGACCAGTCTTTTCTTTATATTCTCTATCTAACCACCTTGTATCAACATCTAAAATTTTATTATTTCTTGTTTTGTTTAATATTTTCAAACATAATTTAGAAAATATAAAGTTATGTCTTCTGGTACTAAAATATTCGGATAAATAAGATGCTTATAGAGGGGCTGTTTGGTTGATGAAATTTTTTTGGATTACTCGAATCTGTTATCATTAATAGTCTAACATAGATAACATCAACTTAGAGTCCATTTCTAAAAGTTGATTGCCCACTAGGTATGGGAGGCTGCCTAAACGGGCACCTCAATTTAAGATAGCTTAGTTCAAAATACAATTTTAGCTGCTCCAAAATGGCTATCTTATGATGAGGCAAAAACAATCTTAAATATTTATTTAACAAATAATTCCTAACCAATATGCTTCCTTTGTTCATTTAAAGTTACTTTATTAGGTTGCCATTGATTTCGCCATTCTTCTTGAGCATTTAATTTTACCCAAAATATAATCGAAAACAAAAATAAGCAAAGATTTATTTTAAACATAAATTCCCGGATTTAATTTAATAAAATAACGGGAAAGAAATTTTTGTGTGATGATTATTAGTTGTGTGTGTGTGATCGAAAAATTATTATTTTTTCCTTTTTGTCATTCTTCTTTCCTCCCAAATTTATCCAATATATTCACCAAATCCATCATTCATCTATATCTGTTCATCTTTATATTTATTATTTCCTTTTGCATAATAAAATTAATATAAATTGATCAAAAATGACCAAATTATTTATTAGAAAGAAAGAGGAATGAATCAGCGATATTTGCGGACAGAATTTGTGGACAAAATAAAAACCTATTGAAACAAAATAAGCATCCATTAGACGACACAGAATCAGGGACGGGTCAGTTCGAGAAAAAAAGTCAGAGTCGGGTTCGAATTCAAAAAAATCCGGGGTTTTAAATTTTGAATAACCTAACCTAACCTCAGCATTTGCGGAAGGATATTTAATGAAGAAAGGTTTGTGGATGTCCGCAAATATCCCGAAAAATGATGAAAACGAAAGGGAAAAAAATTAATAAATAATTTTTTGTTTAATTGCGTAATTATTTTTTATAAGAAAAAAAATAAAAATCTTGATTTCTTGTGATTGTTTTATTTATTAGAAAAATTAGAAAAAAATATTTTAAATTTATCTTAATAAAAAATAAAAATATAAAGATAAAGCTGTACTAACAGAAAAGTGCATTTAAAATTGTTTTTAATTTAAAAAAAATATTTTTATTTTTTTCAACAAAATTCAAACAAATAAATAAATATTTTTTTAAATTTGTTTACTCAATTTTAAAATTATTTAATAGACTTTTAAAAAATTAATTTTTTTCTCTAAAGTAAACAAAAATTAAACTTTTATTCACTAAAAATTATTTTTAAAAATTTTCATTTAAGCCAGAAAAATAAAATTAAATTTTATTTACTTTAATTAGTACATATTTTTAATTAAAAATATACTCATAAATATTTAACTATTTGTCCAACAAATTTATTTATTTTTAAGGAAGTAAATAAAATTTTATAGGTACATTTTTAAAAATATGGCATATATAAAACGTTAATAAAAAATAGTTTTGTGAAAACTTTAATTTTATTGTTTAGTAATTTTATAAAAAATATTTTTCCATTATATTTTTATTTATTTTTACTCCTTATTTATGACATAATCATTAGCTAGAACGCTTGCTACCAGATGCCTCTGTTGGACATCGAAGAATAAACATAATACAAAAAACTCGGAGGCACTTAGGTTAAAGCAATATCCCCAAAAATTTTAAATCAACTTCAATTCTGTATAAAATTTCTCATTCCTAATAACTTTGTCGCATCCGGATATCCGAAGATTTCCAACTATCCGGCGACCTTAATTCCTAAGGATAACTTTGTTTACTTTCCAAATGATTTACAGGTCCATTTCCGAGTTCCAGGTCAATATTTAATCAAAAATACCGATCGAGACTTAAGGCCGAGCTTTAAATTTGACATACACTAACTTAAAGCTAATCAGATCCTTTGAATATTTTGACAGCAAAATTCTTAATTAATAACCTTTTTTCTAGTTTAAAAATAAAATAAATGATTAAATTTAATTTTTTAATAATTTTCTCCATTATATTTTTATCAATTTTTCAATTCTTCGATAATGGACCAACTTTGACTTTGGCTATACTAGCTCCATTAGATCAGCAAGTAATAAATGTTGGAAGAAAGAAGAGACAATATGCTGATGTAAATGGAGGAAATGAGGAAACAAAAATTAAATCTGAAAAGAAAAATTTTATATTTGAACAACTTGGACTTAGAAAAAAGAGACAATATGCTGAAGAAAAAGAAAAGGAAAGTTTAATTGATAAAACTTTGAAGAAATTTGGATTTGGAAAGTAAAAATGAGAGAGAAGACATAGATATGTAGATGATTTGTTAAAACCTCTAAATCAAGGGGTGTGCCAATTTCGCCTTTTATTTTTTTGTTTTTTAAATTAACTTTCGTTTTTTACATAGTCCTGGCATACTCCTTTATAGAGGTGAGTCGGAATTCCAATTTCCGACACCTCTGACTATTCCGACCCACCTCTGTTCCTGTCTTAAATGTAAAAAGATAAAAAATAAATTTTTTAGTTATTTTCTGGATTACTTTATTGGGCTATGTATATTTCCAATTCAATTAAATAAATAATTTTTATATTTCCGTAACTTAAAAAATATCAATTTTTAATACATTTAAATTTTTGTAGTTTGTATAAAATAGAAATTAAAAATTTTTATTTGTTCAAAAGATTTTTTAGTCACACTTCAAAATCTAAAATTTTTCAAAAGAACGGAAGTCAAGAAAAAATTAACAAATATAAAGCATTTAATTTTAATTTATAATTTAATTCGTTTAGCTTAAATTTAAAGATTTATATTTCATTTTCTTCTTTTATTGTTAAAAATTGTAATTATTTTATTTTTAATAATGGGAATTTTTCTTTGAATAAAGTTTTAATACTTGATTTTATGTACACCTTTGGGACTGAAAAAATTTTGCCTAAAATTGCAGGTAGACACAGCTCTCCCTTCAGTAGTGGCTACTCCTAAATTTAAATAATTTTATAATAAACTGAGGTTTAGGTAACTCTAGGGGGCTGCCTGTATTAGGGATACCCTTTCTAAGACAATTCAGCACACCGTTTCGGATTTTATAGATTCTTTTAGTTATCTAAATGATCCTTCAGTCGAATCTTTCAAGCCTCCCCTCCCACACGACTAATTATTATGAGGATTCTTTTTCCCCATTCTATAATTAATTATGAGAACATTTTACCGTATTTCCTTTAATAGCTATCCTGGGTAATTATTGTTTCGACCTTCTGCTGGAGGGAGTAAATACTCAAGGGAGGGTTTGAAATTTGAACATTTGTTTGGGGTAATTATTGTTTCAATCTATCGCTGAATGGGGTAATTAAAGGAAGTGGGGTAATTATTTAAGGGAGGGAAATTAATACAGGTATACTGTTTATTAAATTTATTTAGTAATTTTTTAATAAAAAATTACCAATTTTAGGTAATAAAAATAAAATGAATTTTAATTTCTTTTTAATTTTCTCCATTTTATTTCTTTCAATTTCTCAATTTTTAAATAACGGGCCGACTTTGACTTTAGCTATAATAGCTCCATTAGATCAGCAACTAAGTGTTGGTATTAGAATGAAGAGAGATTTAATTGAGGGAAATGATTTTTTGTTTGGACAATTTATATCTCGAAAGAAGAGACAATTCCTTGTTGGACAAAAACATAAAAAACCACATGATTGAAGAGATAAAAATTTTAAATAATGAAAAAAAATTAATTTTTCTAAGATTGTCAAGACCTCAATTTGATAAAAAATTCTTTTTTTAAAATTATTCGTTTTGGATCAGTATCTGTCTCATTTAGAATTAAGAAATTTCTAAGAAAAAATAAATCCTGCCAAATCCGTCCGGCGTTTGGCACTTTATTTTAAAGTCAGTTACACTCAGAGTTAAAAAATTTTTTTAATAAATTTTTTAATTTATTAAGTGGGGTTTATCCCCATCACAAAAATTGTGAAAACAAAAATATACCACTGATAATACAATTCACGAATGTGGGGGGGGGGGGTGGATTAAAGTTGGAGATTGGGAAAATATAATAGAGATTAAAATGATTTTGAGATCCACTTTCAATTACATCCCCAAAATCGTCACCCTGCATATATCACCATAATCCCCTATATCCTGCGGCGCTAAAAATGGATGAAATCAAGCTTCCTGGTAATCCATACTTTCTCTTGGGTACAATTCTTGATCTAGTAGGACAAGTTTTGGGCTCTTTACTTATTCGTAAAATAAGTATTTGTCTCAAATCCAAGTCTTAGTATTTATTAATGATTTAGATTTTTTTGAGATGAAAAATAAATATTGGGAAGGCGTGGTCGTTGGAAAAGTTAAATTATTTCTTTTTCCACTTGCAATAACCAAAAAGATAATTTTGATTAAATCATGTTAAAATTATTTCTTAATCTTGTTATTATTTTCATTATCAGAGAAGTCCATAAATCAGGAATTTTGTAACAAAATCATGATTTTCCGGTTTTAAAATAGGAATTTACTAAAATAAATTCTAAAAAATAAGGTAATATATTTTAATTATAAATTATTAACTTGCTTATAGATAAGAGTAAATTTTACAAAAATATTTTTTAATTACAAATAATTGTTCTCATTTTATGTCTTTAAATAAATATATAAATAAATTTAAAATTTTATAAAATAAAAAATATTTTTAATCAAAAAAAAATGAATTTGTTTAAATTCTCAATTATTTTCTTTTCTTTTTTTATTTTAATTAAATCAAAAAATATTTCGACTAAAAGCTTATTTTTAAATAAAAATTTAAAAAATTCTTCTATAAATAAGGGAAGTTTTGAAATTATTTATGCAATGCTTGTTTCTGATGAATTAAGTCAAGCACCCTTATATCATTATATGTCTATGTGTTATTATGAAAATAAATTAATTGAAGAATATTGCCAATTGGATAAAATTACTAGTCCAATTAATGCTGAATTTAATGTATTTAATAATTATTTTTTAAAATTTATAAGATGAAAGGGAGAGGTGAAAGAATTGAACAAATATAAAGGGGTACTTTAAATCGTAACAATTGTGAATAGCGTTCAAGCAGCCCTCCCCCCCCCCCCCCGTCTTTCAGTTGGAAATATTTCGTAACTACATGTATTAGGGTAGTTACTCCAATTTGAGTTCCGGTTCCCAGAACCGGAACTTTAAAAAGATTTTGCTAGCAAATTTTTAAAAATTTGTATTTTAAGCAGGGTTGTCGGTTTCACCTAATTCTTCGGTTAACCGAAACAGAACCGAAAATTTGTCGGCTGATTAAGAGTTATACCGTAAATGCTCTAATTGTATCTATTTGAAGCACGGTCTCTAATAGAAGCACACTCTAGTATGACTTAAATCAAAGGCGCCCGCTTCGAT